TTGCACAGAATTCACGCCGCTGAAGAAGTGACCTATACTCTTGACCATTCATCAATCTCGCGTGCACATAAAACAGGGAGTGGATGTGAAAGTTGCCTTGTTTGAGCATTTCTAAAGAGAAAACTTGTTGAACTTAAAAAGAGTTGAGAAAATTGCAAGCCAAACTATGAGAGAGTTAATTATATTTACCTAATTAATATACCACCCGACTGGGCTTGATGATGCTTTGTCATATATAAGAGCGAGCTTGCTCTAAGAATGCATCCACATTCAGTTTCTCCGATAGAGATGGGCAGCCGCCAGCTAATTTCATTAGTACTGAAACAACCACCTCTTGTGGGAGCATGACAAAAGAAAAGGAAATTCATGCATAAGATTTTCTGATGTGGTTAATGCCCTTAAACTGAATTTACTATTCAGGTTTCAATCTACCTTTGGATCTTGAGCAACAAGAAGAGCTGCACGATCACAGGTGAGTTCCCGCTGCTCCAAGCCAGCGTAAGAGCTGTTCTTCTAGCAATCAAACTGCCAACACCTGTGGGTAAAAAGATTTCAAAATCAATTGTAACTGAAATAATATGCCCCTCTTTTTGCTTGCAGAAATGCATACTGGCAGCAATATAATTAATGCACAGTTGCACGCTATCCTATCTGAGTTTACCCCTTGTACTATAGACAGCTGTCCGTAGCATCACCCCCTTTCGAGGTACAAGAAGAGTACGATACAAAGGAGGTTGGTCTTTGAGTCGAATTCCATATATACAAGCATTAAGATGCATGAAATGTACTATATATGAGCCCTAATGCCCTTAACCATAAACATTTTGTAGCATAAACTTTTGGGCAAACAAAGTCTCACATATATGTTTTTTTAGTTTTGAATCATCAATCTGAACAACAATCTTTTTGTTCACCATGGTTACACATGAGATCATCAGGATGCATGTTGATTAAAATATCATTATGCCAAACGAAAGATGCTTTTAAATAGAAAACATAAGGGCAAAAACACTTGCCTGCCATGTAATATTTTACATTTTCTCATATACAATTTACAATGCAAAGAGACTCCAAGACAGATTCACGTTGAAGCACTTCAATAAGTATCATGCGATTTCTAGGAATATTTGTTGCTGATAATCTATATAAATTGACTTAGGATATCTATTATTTAACTTCTGCAATTCCTTTCGACTGATCAGCAGCTCCACATGAAGGCTTGTATGAACCACTTTTTACCACTGACAGCCAGGGTATATGCATTGGGTACAGAACTTTGACGTATATACAAGTCAGGAGCCTCATTATTGAGTATTCTAGCAGCCTCAACCATTAAGTAATGAAGTTCAGGTAGTAGCTGAAAGACATGCTAAATCAGTTAGATGAGTGAACATCTCTCTGACCTCTTTATTCTTTAACACCAGGATGCACTGGAAGTTGAGAATCTTATATATGTTACTAGGTTATTTTTCATGATTGAAATATATGTACTACTAGATACAATTATGAAATATGGAGGGAGGCTAGTGAGATAGGAAAAAGGCGAACAACATAGTCTATGTTTTCCGATACATACAAATCACACTAGATACATCTATCCAAATACATTTTGAAATACATATAGATAGGGAGAGAGAAGGAGAGCCATATGCAAATTAATCCACTTGCATATTGTGTATATGAAACAAATTACACTTAATTTTAATTTCATGTATTTGAAGTCCAAATTTTAATAAGATTCGTAATATTGAAGAGTAATTTGCTTACCTTGTTTGGATGGTTGTTAACTGTTGTATTGTTAGTTTTTTTTCTTTTTATGGTTACTTAAATTCAATTCATATTGTATAGTTTAAATCTATAGTTAAGTAATGAAAAAAAGATTCAAGATCGATTTGATGTGATCGCATGGTATACCTTGATATATTTTTTTTTGTCATTTTATATTTATTTATTATTTAATAATTATATTTCAATTATTTTACCTACCTTTTTATAGTAGCTCTGTCCATGCCTTACTTTTCTTGTAGGTTTATCATTCAAATTATAGATATGTGACATTATGTAACGATGGAGAACGATACAATTTATCTAAATATTGTATTCATTCAAAACAATACAATATTATACAATACAATATAATACGATATATTATGAAATAATACGTAACAACAATCCAAACAAAATGCAAGCTACTTTAGTTTTTGTTGTTTGGCCAAAGAAAATAGGGGATTAAAAATAGAAAAAAATATTGAAAACACTTAATTTTGATTTGATACATTTGAAGTCCAAATTCTAATAATAAAAAAAAAATTAAAAAAAGTAATTTGAATAGTGGGTGGAGCACAGGCACCCACCCACGCCTAGCCCCTAGGCGGCGGCTAATATCATGTCATCGAGTGGATAAGGAGAAATAGTTGAATGAGAATGGTATCGAAGGAGGAATTTCTTCATCTCTTTGATCGCTTTGCTCTCCTCATTTGCCAACCTGGTATGTATGTATGTACTTGATTTGCTTTGAAATCAACTAACTATGTCTATTTGGCCTTTTGCTGCCTTTATCCTCAAATCAAATCATGATTTGCAGATGTCAAGCAAAGGATTGTGGATGCTGTCAATCACAAACAGGTTAACATTCATTTTCTGCTTCCTTCTTCACTTTCATACCTAATAATTTAGACCTCTGCAAGCCCCAAAATCAACAAAGTTGTGTCCTCTTCTACCATTAAAGAATGGTTTCGCACTGTTGGACTAAGCTTTAAATTTGATGATTCATAATTTTTGAAATTTTAGTGACTTTTTATTTCTATATTTATACTTTGTCACGAAAATGTAGGGTTCAATTGATTATATATGCTACAATAAATCATGTGCGAGCACCCATTAATTTAAAATCCTGAATGGTATGGTACCTTCATGTTGGGAAGGTAAAACCAAAATGACAAATCATCTAGGATAGAGACTAATGGAGAATGTTATTCCAAGAGTACCTCGCGTGAACTCAAGATACCATGCCATGTTGAACTTGCCAGGAGCTTTGTGATTGGCGTCTTAATGGGGTATGATTTGAATTTTTGATGAAAATCATTGTTGTAATGACCCATTGACTTGTTTAGTGTCAATATCTTCCATGCTCAACAATAATTAGTTTTCTCCATTTATTTACAATTCTACTTTGAAATCAAAAGATGGAGCATCATTATATGCAGGAAGCTGTTGCTATTACAACTGCTATCCAAGAGGAGATATTTTCAGAGATAGGAATTGGTGAGCTTTAAATCACTCGCGTTTTACTGCAAGAAATTAACTTAGACAATTTTTGAGTACACAAATGCTTCTTTTGCTGCTGTTTAATCCCTACTTTATGTTCAAACAAATGTGAAAAGAATCAGCATTTTGATTCTAATCTAGTTGAACCATCTTGCTTGGTCATTGTTTCAAAAAAGAGATGTCAAGGTCCAGTTTTGCAGATGGAGCTAGGGCTGAGCTGCAGATTTGTTACAACCCAATTTTGTAAACCTAGTTCATGTATAGTTCTTGCTGCTGATAGTACTATTTAGTATGTTGTTTCATGAACTTGTATATTTTAGCTTGGAATAACAAGCCATATTGCCCACTGTCCAGAAGATGATAATCCTGTTTTCATTGTTTCTTTGTTTGATTTGATTAAAAGATGGAACATTACATTCCTACTCCCCTTTCCTTCTTTTCGTCGGTTTATACTAACTTTTTCCACTGGTGAAAATGCAGTGTCATCTACTATTTGGGGAAAATGCTTCATAGAGTTATATCATTGTAATGTATAACCATTGGGAATTCCTTATTTCTCTGTTGCAGATCCACAATTTGGTCTTGCTTGCTTGGGAAAAATAAACATGACCTATGAGAGTGATCGAGACCTGATGATTCGTTTTTACGAATTTGTTGCAAAGTAAGATCAGAATATTCCATCTTTAAGGGTATTCCATCTTTAAGGGTGTTGCAGTGCATGTGCTCATTTCAGTATATCAATTTTATTCTTCTGTTTATTATTAAGATGAACTTCTATATTGTGTTTATTTTCACCTTTGGACCTTTTCAAGAAAATTTCTTGGCACAGTGCTCATAGTATATAATGCAATATATTTCTCTTATTTATTCAATAGAGGGCACTTTACCATTAAGGCTTCTCTTGCTAACAACTCGAGTACAAATTTAATGAATATTGAATTCTATAAAGTAGCTGACTAGGATTGTTTTTTTCTTTATTCTACCTTCCATGAAGAGAAGAAATGGCTTGTGAAGAGGCCGAGCTTGGGCCGGACAGGTTTGCTGAAAGATTAACGATGCAACAGAATTTACAAGAGCAGGTAAGAGATCTCTTCTCTTGAGGTTTAATTATGTTATAGCTGTGATAGTAAGAGTGGATACAAATATTTTGACAGCAACTGGAGATGCTGAAGTACATGCGCAGCTTTCACATGGATGATCAGTCTGCAATACTTGAGAAGGTAATGATGACTAAATTACATACTAAGACGATTTCCTCATGAATGAAGATGCTAACTTCATAAACAAAACATTGAAAAACGTGAACTCTCTGCTTGATCAAGAGATTACATAACATCAGGGGAAGTCAAATAAGTACCTGAAGCAATGGAGTATGTTGACCATGAGCTTTTGTCATCAGAGTTTACAACTCCATGAAAGCGTGATGGAAGTTACAAAATTAGATTTCCACATAAATAAGCTATTTATTTTGGTCGTGGTACCAAATATTGTTCTTCTAAATAATCTGCATGTTTGACAGATTCACCAGCAGTCGAATAAGGCTAACTTTGAGACTGGAGCTTCTGTGCTGACAGTGGAGCAGATGCAGGATGTTGTTCGACGGAGAGTATCACCTTTGTTCCAGCCTAGATAATTGGAGGGAGCTCTCTTGGAGTTACTAATTTCATACTAGCTGCAAACTGGGGAAGCTGAGGCTCTAGTTTCAGTTTTTTACTTGGAAGTAACCTGACAGTTTACTTAATTTTGTTTGTATTTGAAAGTCCATCTGATGTGGTGTAAGCTGAATTGTAGAGCGGTACAAAGGTTTCAATTGGAGTTTTTGTTGTATTTGAAAGTCCAGCAGGTGGACTGTTTCCATTCTCAATTTCTGCATCTTCTGTCTCCACACTGATTGAAGTATCATCGCTTTCACTCAATTCAACTGTCTGCTTCCGAAATCTTTTCCTGCTTTTGCAAGCCACCTTTGTCATTGCAGTGTCCCATTGCTGCCCGCAGTCATTCTCGAGGTTCCTTGGTTCAGAAGATTTCTCTGCGTTAACCAAGCTTTAAGGGGAATGTTCTGGCCTCCAGGCTGACTCTGTTTGGGTGTACAATCTGTACCCTGAGAACCTAAAGCATACGCATTAAAAGGCGTCGAGCATTTCTTGTAGTGTAGAGTACGATTGACCTGATACATGTGCCTAATGTTGCAAGTGAGGCACATTTCCTTCTCCAAACTTGATGAAGCATAACCATTGCAACATAGTATCAATACCTTGTTGATCCCTCAGTTGTATCAATTCCGACCTATCAAACTTCACGGTAAAATACAACATCTTATTTGAAGGATCAATCCCTAATCGATCAAATACTGCATTCACAAAATCATCGTACTTTATGCCCATCTTTGCAATAACATGATCAGTAGTACATCCCTTGTAAGAAATGAGTCCATCGGGTAGAACCTTATTTATCCTGCCCCAGTGACAGAAACAAAGCAGTGTTTTTTCTTCAATTCCCATCCAGAACTAGTGTATAGGGTAACAATCTTGAAAATTAAACCTGATCGATCAAGAAATAAAATCAAACGGAATCACACTTATCAAGGCTGAATGTACTAAAATTACAATCCTATGGTATGAGGATTAATAGAGTATCTTAATTATGAGAATATTAGATATTTTTTATGTGAAACATTATATTAGCAAGAAGTTCTAAACTATAACCAATCAGCAAAGCTCAAAGAATAGGTTTATCATATGATTTGTGCTTGTTAAAAATGAAATTAGCAAAGAAACAAGCAATTTAAACAACAAAGTACATCACCTGCAAAAGGATCAAGACAGAAATTACGAGCTGATTTTTGATCTTTTCACTATTTAACTCTACATTTTTTCTTATTCTGTTGTGAACTTATATTTCAAAAACGTCTTATTTATACTAGTAAAATAGAAAACACAGAGTTGGAAGATACATTGCATGCTAATTAACTGATACATCCATTTGTGAGTGAGAACTTGTATTCATGTACGTTGGATGATGCATTCACCATGGTGAGAGTCTTCTTCTTTGACAAAAGTTATATTGGCACCTATGAATATCAGCAAGTGATATGATTAAATGTTAATATTCATTTCACTTATACAACTCATGATATAATACTTAATATTCATGTATGTTGTGTGCTTAATTTCAAATGATATAATTAATTATGAATGTTTGCTACATCCCGGCCAATCCTTTATTTTTCTGTCTTCATTTCTTTCTTTCTTTCTACATTCTATAATATTTATTAGAAGAGTACTCAGTTAAATTTGGTATCAACATGTTTGTTTCCAGGAAGTAAATTCATATTCGAGGGTGTATTGGTATTTTAACTCCATTGTAAACGCTCTTTTTGTGTCTGGAGGTTAGGTTGTCATGTCCCCTTTGGCTATGTAAATTTTGCTAATCTTATTAATTGGTTTTTTTTTTAAAAAAAAAAAAAAACTATGACACCTGTCTTGCCTTCCTAAATGCTGTGCTAGTATTTTTTAATTTTGTGTTTTGGTTTATTTCTTTAGTATTCGTGCTCTTTTTCTTGGAATGTCACTTTCTATAATCCTCAATTAATTTGGTGTAATGACGCATCATTGTATTAATATTTTCTTCTAATTTTATATTTACTTATTATTGATAATCATATTTTATTTTTTATCCCACTTATTTATAGTAGCTTTACCTTAATTATATCCTACTTTTCTTGTATCCTTTTTTTTTTTTTAAGGTTTATCATTTAGATTGTTGATTTGTAACATTACGTCATAACAGAGAATGATACAATTTATTCAAACATTTTATTAGTTAAAACATACATCATACAATATGATACATTATGAAACAATACATAACAATCATCCAAATGCGATCTAATCACTGTCACTGCTGCTGTTGTTATGCTTCTTATCCTTCTTGTCCTTCTTATCTTTCTTGTCTTTCTTGTCCTTCTTATCCTTCTTGTCCTTCTTGTCTTTCTTATCCTTCTTGTGATGGTGCTCTTCACTATGACCATGTTCATTTTTGTGCTCTTCTTGCTTGTGCTTATTATGGTCATGGTGCTTTTCTCCTTCCTTGTGGCCTCCAATATGGAGTTTCTCTTCTATCTTGTGAATGATTCCTGACATTTTTGGTTTTTGAATTAGATTGGAATAAGAATGGGTTAGTTGTACAAATATTGTGATGAAAGTGATAATGTGAGAGAAGTATTTATAGTAGTGGTGGGGGACGTAAGTTATTATACCATTTGATCAATTTTTATTGACAAACTTGTTACGCGTACACGGTTTCAACATTAAGAAAAGTATTGTTCGTAAAAGAGCTACTCTAGATGAAGTTATGTTTACCTTAGCTTATAAACTAGTAAATTGTTTAATAATGTAGGTAAAATTATGCAAAATAGCAAATATTTAGCCTCTATTAGGTACTATAGCTATAATTTAAGAAAATTGTAATTCGCGGTCACAGTTTCTCCAATTCTTGGTATTCGCTTGATTTGCATAATTCGTCTGACTTGTATAATTCGCTTGATTTGTATAAGTTCAAAATTTGTATAATTCGGTTCCTGATAGTATAAATCCAGAATTTTGTATATGCTTACCCTAGCTATTTGTATACGATTTATGAAAAATTCATAATAATGTATTATATTTGTATATTAGCAAGCGAAATATACAAACGAAGTTCTGAAAAATTCTTAAATGTATGATACATAATTTATATATATTTACCCGATTTGTATATTTGCAATGGAAATATACAAACATGTAGAAATATACAAACCACAGCCTCCATAACAAACAAAACTATAGTTATAGAGCGCAATTATCAAGACTATATTTATAGAGTCTTATTATGTCTATTATATTTGTTATTTCTAAAATTCTCTTTAATATTTCGGGTCTATTTGGATAGACTTATAAAAAGTAACTTATAAGTCAAAAGCTAAAAGTCATAAGTTGAGGAAACTCTCTTTTTGACTTTTGACTTATTTAAAAACTTATTTGGCCTAAAAGTGAGTGCTTAAAAATATTTTTTAGCATTTTCAAACACCTCCAAAACTGAAAAAGTGTTTAAAAGGGAAAAACACCTTAAAATAAGTTAATCCAAGCAGGCACACTGTATGACTTGGCATAAAGTTTAAGAAAAAATAATAAAATTTATGATCTAAAATAAATCTTAAATATATATTTGATTATAAATCATTTCAGATAAAATGACAATTTTTTTTTTATTATAGAAATGTAATATTTTGAATGGGACCGACTAATTAATTAAGACAAAATATAGCAATTTTAACACCTCCATCTAAGTATCTGTTTATTTATAAAATCATTTTTTTTTCAATTACATTTTATGAACTAATTACGATCAACTAATCCTAACATCTTAGGAACCAAAGGTTTTGATTTGTAACAAAAGCCTCCACAAAACGCTAATAATTGAATGGGTAGGTGGTCTTATTTGATGGCTCAAAATGAGTTAAAAGAGGACTTTGTATACAGAAATAAGACAACTTGTCTAATAGAATACCACTTTTAATAAGACATCTGTATTATATACATGAAATTAGGGGAAAACATGGTATGATAAATATCGTATAAGCGTATATTGAATAGCATATATTAAGATTGATTTTTTTTTATAATGTGGTATGACTCTTATGAATATTATACTAATATATAATATGATATTCAGTAAGCTTTTAAAATAAGTTGACATTTGATACGATATTTAATATTTACGAATAAATACTAAAATATAGTATACCACACCGAAGTTTTATATATATTATATTACCTTACTGATATATATATATTTTTTAATTATATTTATATTTATATTTATATATATATATATATATATATATATATATATATATATAATATAATTAATAATATTTATAAATGACAGTTGTTGGGACGAACACAGCATTAAAAAATTGTACTGAAAGCTGTCCAAATTGAACACAGCACTAATTGGTTGTACGAAGAGCAATTTAATTCGTACTGTACAAGTGAGCTCTATTTCATTGTTTATTGAACTTTATGGTCTTTTCCTATAAACACGTGTATCATATTAGCTATATCTACAATTTTACTTTCCTCTTTGCTACTTTGGCGCCATTTCTCATGTTGATTTTTTTTCTCAGCAATTTTACTTTGCTCTTCGTTGCTTTCACTACCATCTTTGTTGATAATTTTGTTAAATTTCTTACGGGTGATTTGAGAGGATTCGGAATCTAAATAAGCCACAAAAATATAAAAGTGACCAAAATAAGTCATTACTTTAGTAACTAAAATAGGCTTAGTGGAAGAAAAAATTTCACTTTATCTAATATTCTAAACGTTTTCCGTTAGTCTCCTAACGTGTATATTTTATATATAACGGAACTATTTCCTACACTTTATAAAATGGAGCTATTTCTTACATTTTATAAAGTATAAGTTTTTCTTACACTTTGTAAAGTGGAGCTTTTTCTTACACTTTATAAAGTGGAAGAAAAAAATTTGTTTTACCAAGAGGAATATTTTTCACGTTTTTATCTCTTTATGAAGCTTTTGCAGTGTTTGTCATACAATTATATTGATTTGACATATTATAAAAACGAAAAAAATTATTACATTATGTATTTTTAATTTTTTATTCTGAAAAATCCTCCAATCTCTATTTAAGGACGTTCAAACATAGTTGATAGCACCTACAACATAAAGTCTTCTATATTTGTTCATTTCAATCTAAAAAAAAATGTCTTCTACATCAAAAGTTAGAGTTTCGATTTATTGGGATAGCGAAATTATACATGACGAAAATACTGTTTATTATAATTGTCCTTCCAAACACAATGCTAAATATTCAATTAATGTCCGATATCATAAATTTCTTTCAGCAATTTATAAAAGAATGGGTATAAACAATACTGATTATAATTTGGTTATAGTCAGAAAATACCCTACTTCATTTTTATCACAAGGACAAGTAAATTTTGGAGAGTGGATTATCTATAATGACGAATCGTTGACAGACTTTTTGAGGGTTCCAAATGACTACATAGATCAAATCAAGTTAACAATACTTGAAATCTATGTTAGGAAGGAGCCTAAGACTAGTCAACAACGTTCTCCTTTATCGGTCGATATCCATCCCCGATTAGAAAATTGTAATAGCGTTGATAGATTTTCGATAACTCAATCTACTGATTTTCCTAACATGACTCATTATCAAAATATTCTTACCGGTTGATATGATTTTGATTTGAACGAAACTATCAATGAAAGTGACTGGTAATGCTCAATAATTATATTTCGACTATTATTTGTTGATTTTGTCAATTATTTATTAATTTATATGGTTTATTATTCTTCTTATTATTATTATTATATATTTTGTAGCGGTTTACCTCAGCAAGATAGGAATATTGCTCCAAGTTAGGACTAGATAATTATTTTGGTCAGTCCTCACACTTTGAAATGACGGAAAATGTTGGGACATCCTCAAATTTTCATGTCTCGCCTACTTTTGATGTAGATGATTATCGATATGTCCAACACTTGATTTTTTATTTAAGTAAGTTAATTGCATGAGACAAATATTTATACTTTTTTACATACATAGGGAAAATATCACACATGATGAGCCCATTGATCATGTGAATATCGATGATCGTGACCTTCCAAATTACGGCTCACCTTCAGCTAGTGATAGTGATGATTTGCCTAATGCCGAAGAATCAGGAGATAATGTTCCATTTGAGGCATCATCTAGTGATGATGATTTTTTAATGCCCAATCGGTCGCCAAGACCAATGTCCATGAGTCAGTTTCGTAATCATGAAATTCCTTATCTTGATCACCTCCCAGATGGTCCAGATATCTTTGGCGATACACATGATGAATATACATCACAACATACGTGGTGTGAACCGGAAGATTTCATGAATGGTGCTATTTATATTGAAAAAGGCATGTCATTCAATTCAAAGAAGCACTTGCAAAGAGCAGTTAAGCTTCTACATTTAAAGATAGCGAGGGAGTACTTTGTTATTAAATCGACAAAGAAATCATGGCGACTTGTTTGTAGGCGTGTAGAACAAGGATGTCGATTTAGGCTAACTTCTTTTAATGATAAACATACTAACATGTGGAAAGATGGAAGATACATTAAAGAACATAAATGTGATATGGGTACGTGCCGCGATGGACATTTCAACTTGAATGTTGAGATGATTGCTAACGTCCTCCGTGTTGATATAGAAAAAAACGTCAAGGTACTATTTTATCCTTAGATGATTTTTCTTTAATAAGAAAATATTCATTTTTTATTTGATAATTAATATTATTTTTACTTTTCAGGTTTTCCATCAAAGACTGTCAAACAACCGTTCTTAAAGCATATGGCATTTCGATAAGCAGAAGAAAAGCCTATCTTGATCGCACGCGTGCTTTTGAAAAAGTCTATGGTACTTGGGAGGGTTCTTTTGCCGAGTTGCCGAGGTTCATGGAAGCTTTGAACCACTTCAATCCCGGAACAATAGTTGAATGGAAAACAGAGCGGCGTGTCGATGTCATTGAAGATGTATTCAACTATGTGTTCTGGACTTTTAAACCATGCATTGATGGGTTTGTGTTTTGTCGTCCTGTTATACCGATCAACGGAACACATGTGTATGGAAATATGATATCAAGTTGTTGATTGCGATTGCAACGGATGGTAACGACTCAATATTATCTTTAGCATTTGCAATAGTTGCGAATGAGAGCATGGAGACATGTAGTTTATTTTTGGATCATTTGCACTTGCATGTTGTCAAGGGTCGTAGAGGTGTGGCATTGATTTCAGATAGGCATCATGGAATACTCTCATCCGTGTATAATTCTCCCAATTGGCAGGCCCCATTTGGGTTCCATCGTTTTTGTTTAAGACATTTGAAGGCCAATTTTTAAAAAAAATTCAAAAATGTCACTTTGAACAACCTTTTATGGGCAGCTGCAAATCACTATCAGGAGAAAAAGGTTTTGGAAAAAATGGAGATGATCAAAAGATTAACCCGAAAGCGTATGTGTGGTTAATGAAGAACGATCTTGACAAATGGACATTGCACAAGGATGGAGGTAGGAGATGGGGCATGCTGACAACAAACAGTTCCGAGTCATTCAATGAT